ATCTCCAATAGCAGAAAAAAAAAAAAAAAAAACCTGCTGAAAACCTGGTGTTACAGTCTGTTTTTTAATTAGATTATTTAGGGTTTTTTAAAAAATGTGTTTATTGTGTTCTGATACACTTGAACTTATTTGTCCCCATTTCTGTGATTTGTCTTCTTCTGGTTTTTGCTATTTCTGTCATTCTGTATATCTTTCCTTCTTTTCTGCATGTTCTGTTTTAAAAATTGCACAATTTTTTTTTTTTGTTCTTCTTTTTTTTTTTTTTTTTCTTTTTCCTTTTTATCGGTACCGGGGATCGAACTCATGACGGCCTGCTTGCAAGGCAGGCGCTTATGCCACTAAGCAAAATCCCCAGCCCCTCTTGTTTGGTTCTCGCTTGGCATAGGATTCTGTTTTTCAGCAGTAACTCTCAAAATTTTAGCGGTTGTATTTAAAGTCTAAACTTTTATGGACAACTTTTTGGATTATTCAAATTGATATAGGGGATTGAAACCCAACCTACTAAATGTCCGGTACAAGCTCGTGTTCTCTAAAATTGAAGAATGAATTTTAGGAACAACGGAGGTTAAAAGCAGATGTATTTATTGAAGACTCAGTCTTTTCTAGGACTTTTATAGAGTAAAACCACAAGGTCACTGGTCCTAGGTGGGGAAAATGTGGGAACTGGCAAGACAGGAGGGCATGAGGTGGGACAGAACTATGATCAACCAATAAGATTAATTGTTCAGGTAAAATTGACCAAATCAGGGACAAATGGGGAAGTGAGTAGCTTAGCAAGTGGGCATGCTTAAAGAGCAATGGACTCTTTCCTTAGGGGGTTGGGATGGTGACTCCTAGCTTCCTTAAGTGATCCACACCTACCTAGAATATCAGTCTCTGATGTTTATATTTAGGGTGTGGTTGCATTTGTTTTTGTTTTGAGATCTGGCCCACAGCAGGAGGTGTCCGTCTCCTCCAAAGTCACAAGATGTCTGGTCCTCTTGCTCTGGCTCCCTCGAAGGCCTGGCCCTACCTATAATATTTCTATCTAACTCAGCTGCTCACAATAAAATGTCTACAACTTCTTTACCTCTCCTTATATGCAAACCTTCTGCTGTAAACCTTCGTAGTTCTAGCCTACAAAACTGCAGTCGGCCATGTGGTTTGCACTGGTCACTGAAACCTAAGAAGAGTCAAAAACTGTGCCTGTGCGCTCCTTTATCCCCTTTTGCCTCTCTGCTAATGCCCCAAGGACTTGGCCAGGGAACCCAGCTGGTGACTAAGAGACACATCTGTCCTAGATCAGCTGACCCTGGCCATATAAGCAAGCTTACCTACTCCCAGCTGACCTCAGATGTGTGAGCAATAATCAGATGTAGGTGTCTTTGAGGTTTTAAGGTTATTTGCTTTGCCAGGGATTACTGACACATTTCTACCATGATTTAACTTTAGTGATCCTTTTGTACTTTATATCCACTTGTTCCATTATTTTAGTTTTACATTTTTAAATCCTATAAATGATGAACTATCGTCTTTTTTTCTTTTTTGCCCTTGATATTTGTTTACATTTATTTATATTGGCCATTATATTTTCTTGTCAAATTTATTTTTCCTCACAACTTCCTCCTGGGATAATTTTATTCTTGAAAATATATCTCCTTCTCCTTCTTTTTCTGTGTTCCTAATATGTTGCCCAAGCTGGTCTAGAACTTTTAACTTAAATAATTCTCCTGCCTCAGTTCCCAAATAGCTGGGTTTACTAAAGTGTGAGACCCTATCCAGCTTCTAAAATATAAATCTAAAATCACTCATTTAAATTCTATTAGTAATAACTCTTAGTTTTTGTTGATCTGAAAAATATTGTTTTCATCTTGAAAGATTATTTTGCTAAATCTAGACAGGTTTTTCTCTTCTCCCATGAATGCTATTATTTCAAGCTACTGTTATTATCACTACTCCTATTATTGCTGTTCACAGTCACATGTTGGTAATATTTATTCCATCATAATCTGATTTTCCTTTTCATCTCTTGTTCTTTGGTGTTCTTTTTCATTATTCTGCTTAGAAGGCATCATATATACTAAGGGATTTTACTCCTTCATCAATTCTGTGAAATTCTCAACCATCATTATTTGGCAGTGTTCACATACCCTTTCCTGTCTCCTCTGATGACAGATGAACATATGTTAGACCATATTCTTTTCCATATTCTTTTCTCTAGGGTGCCTTTTTTCCCTTCAAGTCTATCTTCTAGTTCACTAATCTGTCTTTGGCTATTTCTTATTTAGTTGAACCATCCAATGAATTATACATTTAAATTATTTAAACTATTATAATAAACACATCTATAATTCTTATATGGTTCCTTTATCACATTTGCCTGGTAATTTTTGAGAGTATCTTGATCCTCACTTGTAGTTTTAAATATGCTTTTTCATGTTCTGGTTCTAAAATATCTACCATTCAACATAATTTTGGATTTGCATCTGCTGATTGTCTTTTTTGCTTATTTCCTCAGGGGTTTTGTGGTTTCTGATTATGAGTGCATATTCATTTGGAATTTAACTGTGAGAATTCTTTGAGACTTAGGTTGACCATAAGTTTTTCCAGAGAAGATTTTTGTTTGCTTTGGCCAAGTACCACCATCACTACCTAGTCAGGTCCATTTTACACTAAAATGTTCAGTTTGTGGAGTTCTGAAGCATGCAAATTTATGACCATGTGAAAGCCAGACTATAGCGATAAATAATCTTAGACAGTTTTCCTCCATTTAGAGTCAGAGCAAAGACACACAACTTTCCTTGCTGCCCATCTCTATATGACAGACTTTTATGCCCTACTTTACCCTTCCCCTGAGGGTATGTTCCTCCTTAGGTTCTAACCAGATGTTGCAACTTAGCTCTTATCCTGCCTGGATCAAGGTAAATGCCCCTATAGCAGCATTTATCTATCTTCAGCAATTTCCGAAGTATTTATCAGTTATGGGACATACTGACAATGCAAACAGGTGCAGAAGTACCTGTGTATAACTTCTGACATTTAAATTTGCTAACCTCCTAGGTTAGTGTTCCTGCATTTTCCCTTTCTTCAGATGGTTTTCTTGACTTTCTTGAGAGCTTGTTTCATAGCAACCTTTTATATTTTGTTGTCATCATACTTGGAGACACAGAGTCTACAATATTAATAGAAATGTCTAAGTGCCAGGCATGGTGGCACACTCTTATAATTCCAGCACTTGGGAGGCTGAGGCAGGAGGATTATTGCAAGTTCTAGACCATCCTGAGCTACAAAGTGAGCTCAAGGCCATCCTGAATTGCATAGCAAGAAACTGTCTCAAAAAGACAAAAAAGAAAAATAAGTAAGTCTAACTAAGACTACTTGGCTTGGGGGCTGGGGATTTAGCTCAGCAGCATAAGCGCCTGCCTTGTAAGCAGGCAGTCGTGAGCTCGATCCCTGGTACTGATAAAAAGGAAAAAGGCAAAAAAAAAAAAAGACTACTTGGCTCATGCGAAGCATCTGATAAGTAGTCCAAACCGGAAGTATAACTTAATGTCATGAGACCTAGACTCTGTTTTTTTGCTTTACCAGCATTAGGATTTGCATGTCACTGCATGGACACATGCAGTGTGGCTGAACTTGAAAAATTCAGGTCTGCTTAGAGGCAACAAGAAAGCTAAAATGGTAAAGCACTTAAAGAGCAGTGAAATAGAAATCCTAATGAACTGTATAAAAAATACTTTCTCAAAATTCCCACTCAATGACTTCTACTTAATATAGTATCAGCAAAAAATCAGTCATGTGACCATGCCTAGCCCGATTATTAAAGAAAATGAGATTGCCATTTATTGCAGCTGAAGTGAAGGTCTACTTCCTGTGAGATCAAGGGATTTCCTCTACCTGAAGAAAAGGAAGGTTTTGTTTTGAGGTGTGTGTGTGTGTGTGTGTGTGTGTGTGTGTGTGTGTGTGTTAGGAGGTCTCACAAAGAAAGGGAATTACTGCAATAGTCTTATCTGCGATAATTGAGTAAAAAAGGGTACAGAGGTAGATTCTTGATTCAGAATCTTTGACATGCTTCTCTGAACTACCATTTTGATGCTTCAATATTTCATTTCTTTGCTTTGGCTTTGTTTCCCAGAATTTCTTTGTCGAACCTTCTCAGAACACTGAGAATCCTTTCTGAAACTGCTGGGTTCTAGAGGTCAAGAAGAAGCAGGGCAGGGGTAGTACCAGCTTGGAAACTGAGCACTTTGTATGAAGACAAAGTCGAAAAGGTGTATCTGACCCAAAAAATGCATCCACCCTAAATCCAGAAACAATTTTGACCAAATTCCAACAGCAGCCTGGAAGAGAAGTTACAGCAGTTTGCTCCTGCATTGAGGGGCTTAAACAGGTCCAGAAGTCTAAGGCAAGCAAAAGAGCATTGCTGGGGGTGGCAGAACTGGGGACAACAGGCACGGGTCCTGTCCACTATTTTTGCGACTCTGTGTTCAACACAATGATAGCCACATAGAGGGCACTGATTATTCCACTGAACATTCACTGAGCATCCACTACTTGCCAACTGCAAGCTGGGCGCTGTGGAGGCAGTCAAGGACTTTTTTTAAAAATCTTTTTGAGACAAGGTCAAGCTGAGTGAGTTCAGGCTGGCCTAGAGCTCACTTCATAACCTGACTGCTCTCGAACTCTCAACCTTCCTGCCTCAGCCTCCTGAGTGCTGGGGTTACAGGTGTGCACCACCACGCCCAGCGGTGTGTGAAGGATTTTGTCTAGAAGATAACTAGACAAGCTAATATATGTGAAGGTCTCAAAAGGTTTAGAACTCAGTTACTGACTCTCCAATGTCCAGAAATATAGTCAGCCACCAAACCTGACCGTCCTGCTCCAGGCAGTTCTGCACCAGGGTCTTGGACACCTACACTCACCGCCCCAAGCTCCACCCCCAACGGGAGCCCGCATGCGCACACCGCCTTCTCGCTGACGCACCTCCGGAAGCACTGGTGGTTTCGGGGGGCGGGGACCGGGAAGCGTTTCCGGGGGCGGGAGGCACAGGCTGAGGCTGTCGCTGCCGCGACAGTTTGAGGAGGCCTGACGCTGGCGGCGAAGAGAGTGCCTCGGGCGGGTTATGTGAGCTCAGAGCCCTTGGCAGGTACGGCGGGGTCCGGACAAAGGCCGGCAGGGATGGGAGGAGAAAAGCCGGGGGAAGGGTTAAGGACGTCGCTGTAGGCCTCCGCGCTCTGGCCGCCGTCCTCACAGGGCCTAACCGGTCGACCGGGATGCCAAGGCGCGGAGCGCCGAGTGCCCTGGGTCCGACCCCTGCGATCCCTAGCCTGGCCAGAGAGCCGGCTGCGGCACCAAGATCTCCCACCCCAACCCCCATCCCCACCGCTGCCCCCGCCCCCTCCCCCGCAGCCTCTCGCCAAGGTCACCCCGCGGCCGCGGAACTCGGCGGGCCCCACGGCTAGCGATCCCGTTAGCCTTCTTGGGACGCCAGGCAGATGCTTCCCGGACTTGACTGGCGTGCCGAGGCCAGAAGGAAAGCTGCACCTGGACTTCTCTGGTCTCTTGTTTCTGTGTCGCCTCTGTTGCTGTCTCTCTCACTTGTTGTCACCTGTCCTTTTTGTTTCTCTTCATCCCTATTCGCCCACTCACGGTCAACCTGGTAGTCTCTCCGCTGTGCCTCTGGAGTTGTTTTTGCACATTTAGACCTTGTCTTTTATTGTTTTCTCTGCCTTGTGTGTCTCTTGACTCTGTCTTTGTCCCTCAGTCCTTCTCACTCAGCCTGAGTGTGACACCAGATTCTTATTTGGTGGCGGTGCTGCTGGAGGTGGGCAACTTCTGCCAACTTCATCTTTCTCTTGTTGCTGTCTCTCCTAACTGGAGTTTTGTGGGCGAGGCAGGACAAGTCTGCCTTGTCCCTGCAGGACAAGACCTCTGAGCCATAGAAGGTGACTCATGACCCCGTAAAACTCCCTGCCTCTCTGCACGGGTGCCATCCTCAGTGACCGCAGTCTGGTCTTAAGTCTGATAGGTGTCACCTGACTTACTCAAGTTAATGGGTGCAGGAATGCCTGGCGTGCAGGCCAAAGCAAGTTGATGATTCTTCACTTTTCTTGCCTGTGGTTTTTCAGGCCTGCACAGCTCTCCACATCTCTTTGCTCCATCCACTTACCCATTTGTGGCCTCCAAGGCTGTCAGAAACCTCTCTGAGTTACAGCTGTTTAACCAGGCTGCCTACAGGCTGAGGAAGGGTCAGGCCGAGAGACTTGCCTTTGTGGCCCTGGGAACAGTAGCAGAATTTCTGGAAGAGCTGCATGCTTAGCTCAGAGATTGTGTCAGTGTCTTCATTTAAACTATGAGAAACCTAGTCATTATTTGTCCCTGCTTTACCAAAGTACTACTGGAGAGAGAAATCAAACAAGAGGATAAATACTGTTTGAGACTTCAGAAACAAAGTACCGAGAACAGACAGATTTGTAGTGACAGGAAGTAGAAGAGTTTATCATAACCAGGGAATGGTAGGAGTATTGTTCAGTGGATACAGAGTTTTAGAGATGATGAAAAAGTTCTGGGAATGGATTGTGGTGATGGTTGCAAGACATTGTTAACTTATTGCCTCTGAATTGTGCATGTAAAAATGGTAAGTTTTATGTTAGGTATTCATTGGAGACTCCTGGAACAAGTAAGCTCTTTTTAAATGTGATTTTTAAATTGAGACTGTTAGGAACATTTAGTCAAACCTGTGTTTATTGGTGCTTTTTACAGCAGTAGATATAGCTCAGGGTCTTAGAAAAGGAGTTTGGTGGAATCAGTTTGGTTCCAATCTTTAAGATCACTGCTTGCACTAAATCCCCCTTTCCCCCACCTTTGGAATCAGTGCAGAAATCTACTTGAGGAAACTTGAGAAAGGTTTTACTTTTTGCATAACAACTTCCAAGGTTAGAAAAATAGCCCTTTTATTATCATAATACAAAAACTGTGTTATTTCTTACCAAGGAATACATTTCCTTTTTTTTCTTTTTTTTTCCTTTGAGACAGTCTCATTATGCAGTTCAGGCTGGCCTTGAGCTCACTTTGTAGCCCAGGCTGGTCTTGAACTCCAAGCAATCCTCCTGCTTCAGCCTCCTGAGTGCTGGGATTATAGGCTTGGGCCACCACACTGGGCTCTTTGTTTTTGTTTTTGTTTTGTTTTGTTTTTTTTCTCTTATTTAAGGCTTCGGTTTGCCTGGAAGGTATTTTCATTGAGCTTTCTTTTGGGTTTTTGAGACAGGGTCCTGCTATGTAGTTCAGGCTGGTGTTGAACTCCCTAGGTACCCTAGGGTACCTTCAAACTAGCAGTGATTCTTCTGTCTCAGTCTCCTGAGTGCTGTAGTTACAGGCATGGGCCACCATGCCCATCTTATCACACTTTCTAAGAAGATCTAACAACAGAATGCTGTACATATTTCATCAAATCTTTGATGCTGCTGATTATTTTATGTATCACCAAGAAGGGGAAAACAATGTCAAGTAAGCAATAATGCTTATTATTCAGACTTCATTTTTCATTCTTATTGAAAACACTTTGATTTACTTGAACTGTAAAATATAATATCAGTGATATTCTAATGCATGTATAAAAAGCATAAGTTAAAAAAAAATGAAGTGTCCATTGGACTTTTTAATATCCCAAGCCCTTTTCTACTGAGTACTTCAATTCACAGTTCTGTGCATGTTTTTTTCTACATATCCTCCTTTGGGCTATCAGAAATATTGATAAGGTTCACAGGAATGTTGTGTTAAGTGATGACGACTATTAAAACCGCCATCTCACTGTGCATTTCAGACTGGCCTTGAACCCACTACAGAAACAGAGCTCCCAGAGCCTAGGCTGGCCTGCGGCTCAAGGTGGTGATCCTGTTTCAGCCTCCTGAGTGCTGGGATTACATGCTGCCATGCCCTTGCTCTCTTGAGCCTCTTATTTTGTATTCTCATACATATGCAAGGTGTGGTTAAAAGTTCTCCTTTCGGTTTCTGAAGGGCAGTGATAGAAAGACTGATCAGTGAAGGTTTAGTGCCCAGAACAATACCTTTTAAGTCTCAACGAGTTTAAAGCTTTGAAGCTTTAAGTAAACCCGTGTTTTAAAATTGAAGAGGGTTTGGAATCTTAACTTCACAAAGTAGGTGGCTTTCTGTTTTAAAATCTTAAAATAAATTTACTAAGCTCTTTCACTGAAGTGCGCCAATTAGGAAAAGATATGAAAATACAGATAGACAATTGTCAGGGAACCAGCTGCACTTTTTCAAAGAATATTTATTTATTTATTTATTTATTTATTCGCTCATTCAGTCAGTCAGTTGGTGTTGGGCATCAAACCCAGGGCCTTCTTTGTTCATGCAAGCACATACTGTAAGCTGAACTACACCTTTGGTCCCCAAAGGATATTTTAATTCTACAAGGTTACACAGGCATTGACTAGGTTGATGTCTTTTAATAAACATGTTATATTAACATAGGTATTAATATTGAAGAAAATGGGGTGAGGGCCATATGGGAACTATGCACTGATTTTTTTTAATTCTTTTTTTTTTTTTTTTCTGCTGGGAGTCTTAACTTATGGACTCATGCTTGCCAGGCAGGCACTGTGCCACTGAACTATATCCCCAGCCCTGACTTCTTAATTCTTCCATAAATATATTACAGAACAAAAGTTTATTTAAAAAATACAAAGAGTGGGGCACAGTGGTACTTGCCTCTAGTCCATACTTGGGGCACTGAGGCTGCAGCATCATTTGAGCCCAGTAGTTGGAGAGCAACCTGGGCTACAGGAGACTCCATCTCCAAAAATAGACAGATTGGGCCAGGAGTTTAGCTCAGCGGCCTAAGTGCCTGCATGGCAAACATGAGGTCATGAGTTCAATCCCTGGTACCAAAAAAAAAAAAATAGGCAGACAGACAGACAAAGTTAAATTTAAGCTGGGCATGCTAGCACACGCCTACAGTTTCAGTACTTGGGAGGCTGAGGCAGGATTGCCACAAGTTGAAGGCCAGATTGAACTACATAGGAAGAACCTGTCTCCAAAACAAACAAATAACGTTGAATTTTAAAATAACAAAGACAGAACTGAGAAGTTCCAGGATAAAAGGCACAGAAGCAGAAACAGCAGGTTTGATGAATTCCTTTGTGCTGCTCACATATAATTTTTAATTTGGAAGGCACATGTACACAATGAGTAGCACCAGCATCTTTTACATTTTCAACATGATTTTTCCTTTCAGAAGTCAGTGTGATTTAATTTGAAGCAAAACAGAAAACAGAAATGGATCCCTTTTTTTCATTCATATTGCATTTTGATGACCATGCATAAGGAAGGTTATTCCAACCCTACGACTTTGCATTAGGTAAGCTATAAATATGCTAATACAGTTTTAAAATTTACATTAATCATGCTTTTTGGCAAAAATAAGAATGTAGTTTGTTGAGGTTTTCTGAAGATGAATTAGTGCATATTTTAAAATCAAATACAGCCATACCAAATTTGCACTGACAGAGCAGTTCAGAAAAACTTTCTGCTAAATGATTTTTTTCTTAGAAAAGTATTCGATTTGGAGTTACATTTCTATTTGAACTTTGACATAGCCCTTATAAGATGTGTAGCTTTGGGCAGGCCTTTTTTTTAATCTGATCTTGAGTTTACTTCCCTCTAAACTGAGTAGGATGATAACAGAAGTGTTGCAAGACCCTTGTGTATGTGGTGTACTGTGTGGACGGTAAAGCATTTGACTAATGTAAAGAATTCTGGCAGGCATGGAATGCCGGTATTTTTGTATGTTTGTGCCAGACTTTAAATTTACTAAAGTAACATTTACTGTGTTTAAATGTGCTTTATACAGCCAGCATGTAAATTACCATATGCTCTCATTAAAGAAATCTCTTAAAACGCTTCAAGACAAGTAGCTGGTTGGGTCTGCTTCCTTGTTATATTGCTATCTTCTGTACTTTTAGGATGTTTAGTCCTTGTTTAAATAGTATATAAAATTTGCTCATTTCTTCAGTTGAATAATAAGTAATGGCTACTATTAAACAGCAGAATTGGAAGTTATCTTGGCCCTCTTGTAGTTGAGGAATTCTTCAGTATATTGCCCTTCATCATCTGCTTTTAAAAGCCCGCGTAGCTGTCATCCTAGTGTTAGGGAGGCTGAGATAGGAAGAACTCCATGAGTTTGAGGCCATTGTGAGTCAAAACCAGCCTGAACTACATTGCGAGACCCTGTTTCAAAAACCCAAAAATAGATAAGTAAAAATTTTTAAAAATACAATTTTATGGAGACCTAATTCATAAACATTTTAAGATGTTTTAAGCCTATAATGTCTGCACTCAGAGAAGCTGAGGCAGGAGGATCACAAATCCAAATCCAGCCTTGATAAATTAGTGATTCGGTAAGACTCTGTCTCAAAGTAAAATGAGGATGTAGCTCATTGTGAAAGCCCTGGGTTTAATCTCCAACAACACCCCCCCCCCAAAAAAAAAAAGGTTTAAGCATCTTCACACATTTGTAATCATTACCATAATTGAATTTGAAAACTTTTGACTACCCCCAAAAGAACCCAATTATCATTCACTCCCAATCCTTTTTTTGAGGCAGGGTCTTGCTATGTAGTTCAGACTGGCCTTGAACTCACTGTATAGCTTTGGCTGGCCTTGAACACGCAGCCATCCTTTTGCCTCAGCCTCCAGGATTGTACCAGGAGTATAGGCATGTGTCACCATGCCTGGCATCTTTACCCTTAATTTCTGTCAACCACTACTTTTCTTTGTCTATAGATTTGCCTGTTCTGAACATGTGATATAAACAGTATCACACAAAATGTGGCCTTTTCTATTTAGCTTTTCTGCTTTAGGTGTTTCAAGGGTTCGGTGTTGTTACATCATTCGTTCTTCTTGCCGAATACAGTGTACTCTATTGTATGGATAGACCATAGTTTATCATCCACGGATTGGTGGACACTTTAGTTTTCTACTTTTGCCTTTTATGAATAATGCTGTTATGAACATTTATATTCAAGGCACAAATTTTGTGTGAAGATCATCTGTTTTCATTTCTCTTGAGTGTATACTTAGGTGTAGAATTAATGCTTACACAGTGACTGTGTTTCCCTGTTACAGAGACTGCCAGCAGCTGTCCTGTTTTATATGCCTGCCAGCAATGGGTATAAAGGTTCTAATCTCCATGTATCCTCATTGACACTTGTTAATGTCTGCTTGGTAGATTACACCAACCTCATAGGTATGGAGTTTTTGTAATTTTGATTTCTGTTTCTCTAATGGCTAATGATACCACGTGTTTATTGGTTTTTTGTAAATACTGAATCCTTTGGTTTTCAGTTGGATTATTAGGTATATGGTTTGCAGCTATAGTCTTACCCTGTTGTGGGTTGTCTCCTTACTTTGTTGGTGATCTCATTTGTGCCTTTACTTTTGCATCTTCCTGCCTGCCATTTCTGTCAGCCCCATCAGTTTCTCCTCTATTTCCAGACTCACTATATTCTGATTACTTCACATCTGGCAAAAATCTTATAATTAGTCGCTGCTTCAGACTTCTTCCTCCTTTAGTCCATCAACACATTAACCCTCCTGAGCCATAGCATCTCACTCCAAAGTTTTCAGTACTGTACCCAGTGCTCACACTTAATGTTCCAGTAGGGTAGTTTCAGATTGCTCTTCTGTCACTGCCTGCCACCTGTAGAAGAAAGCACTAGTAATGATCCCTGTGTCACTCGGATTAATCTTAACTACAAGAGAGCCAGGAAAGATACTGTGAAATGCCTTTCTTACCTTCAGTGTGATGGGTCTAGTAATTCAGTTTCTTCAATATACCATAATCTTGGTGCACTAAACCCACAAGAGATTAACCAGAATGCCATGTGACTTCAAATTTTTTTGTGTTAATAAAGGATATTTGCTTAGGTAATTTTTCCATATGTTGTCCAGTTTTGATGCCAGGGTTTTATGTGAAATTAGTTGGCAGATTTTCTACCCTTATATCCTTGTCCCCTACCCTCCTTTTAATATTTCCAGTTTTATTATATCGGTAGACAGATGTAGTCAAATGTGCCCTGTGCATTTCAGTTTGGGGCATTTTTTTGATGTTCTCTGTGACCTGTTTAAATTTCTGTTCTATATTAATTTTTAGTGTCTTTATTTAGCTTTTTTCTATATCATTCTGATATCTTTGTCTCATCTTCCTTGTACTTCATAGAGACCATGTTTTCATGAACTTTATGGAAAACATCAGTTTAACAAAAGTGTTCACAAATGTGTTCAAATTGCCTATCCCTTGTCATTTTCTTTTTTGATACTGTAGAATCTATTTGCACACCCATGTTGGCTTTATTTATTTATTTTTGTTTTGTTGGTTGGCTTAGTTTCTTTGATACTGCATCTCCTGTGCTATCTGGAGCAGTCCTCTTGCCTCAGCCTCCCCAGTGCTAGAATTACGGACTGTTCGTAAACTGGGTATGACACTGCGTCGTATATTGACTCCAGCGATTTGCTTGAGTGGAATGGCCGGGGCCAGCGGTACCCTGACACCACCAACTTCTGCATGTTACCAAACTGCAGCACCTGTCTGCCCCGTGACCCACCCTAGGTCTTAGTGCTGGGCTCTCCAAATGAACGGATATAACTGGTATTCTGTGGGCATTCCTACTACTGTGCCAGCGTTGCCTAGAGCAGGAAGTGGAGTGCAGGAGCAGTGTGTCTCTTCAGTCTGTTTTCATCTCCACTCTGTCTTTCATTTCTTAAAGTTTATGGCATGTAGGTAACACTGTCTTTAAGTTCCAGGATTCAGCATAATATTTTCATATTTCTTAGATGATTAGAGTTAAGGATATGGTAAATAAGAATTATATGCCTGTCTTCCAAGTTGTCTTCTTACCCTGGTGATACCAAAATTTATATTGAGAGCTTATACCTCTAAAGCAGTGGTGACCCAACTATGGCACATGTGCTCCAGAAGACTGTTTGTATCACTGAAAGCTCTGCAAGTTTCACCGTCTCCACATTTGAGTATACCAGGTTCTGTCTCCTCTCCCCATTCCTCCTGGGTTTGTAATTTTCTTATGGTATTTATCAGGCTTTGCCTTGAATATAAGTGTTATACATAGGTTTTTTTTTTACCTCCCTTACCAGATTATAAACTTTCCAAGGACAGTAACATTTCTTGATTGTCCTTGAAGTTCCCCCTTGTACATTGTATGTTTATAGTGTGTTAATCAATTGAAAAAGCAGTTGGGGGCTAGGGATTTAGCTCAGCGGCATAAGCACCTGCCTTGCAAGTGTGGTCGTGAGTTCTATCCCCGGTACCGATAAAAAAGAACAAGACCAAAAAAAAAAAAAAAAAGGCAGTTGTATTCTTAATATAGATTACAGCTGCTTGGGAGTTTCAATATTGTACAGCAGGAAAGCCTATAACAGACTACATGTTACTAAGATAAAACAATACAGAGTGTTGTCAGATTCACCTCCATTTAAGGGTAGAGGTATACTTCCTAAGTTACAATGACCTTTACCTCTTTGATATAGTTAAAAGATACATGACAATTTTTGTCCATGTTTGTGTGTGTGTATTGAAATGGATGACTTTCAGTTTGTCCTTTTAACCATTATTTGAGTGTATGATTCAATAGTATTAATTACATACAGTATTGTGTAACAAACTGTTTTGAAAATTGTTCTCGTCACCTTACATAGAAGCTACCTGTTAAGCAATAATCCCCCATTTCTCAGTGTTCCTCAGTGCTCAGGTGCCTTGGTAAACAGAAAGTAAATCTTACTTTGTCTTTATTAATTTGCCTGCCATAGATACTTCACGTAGGTGAAACTGTGCATTTGTCCTTCTGTGTGTGACTTATTTTACTTATGATAGTGTTTTCAGTACTTACCCATGTTGGAATGTGTATCAGACCTCCATTCCTTTTTTTGATTGAATATCACATTTTGCTTATTCCATTCATCTGTTGATGAATACTTGGCTTGTTTCTGCCTTTTACAATTTAATGAGTAATTCTGCCACTGAAAATTGCCTGAGTGTCTGAGCCCCTGTGGTTTGGGGTATATACCTGGGAGTAGAATTGGGTGGCATATGTTAATTCTATGTGTAACTTTTTAAGAAACTGACAGAATTTTCCAAAGCAGCTATACTATATTACAGTCCCATCTGCAGTATATGGACATTTTATTTTCTTTGCGTCTTTGTCGTATTTTAACTTTTGATTTCATTTTTATTTTTTATTATAATCATCATAGTAAATATATCTAGACTTACGTCATGTATGTTTTGTAGATATTTCTATTCTGTGGACTATCTTTTCACCCTTGATCATGTTTCTGTTTGGTTTCGTTTTTGCTCTGCTAAGAATCAAACTCAGGGACTCACACTGAGCTACACGCCCAGCCTTTGACCATTTCCTTTGATGCCCAAAAGCTTTTATTTCTAATGAAGTCCAGTTTGTCTGTCCTATTGCCCATACTTTTGATATCATATGTAAGAATCAATTTCCAAAGCCAGCATCAAGCCATCTCTATTTTAAGAATTTATAGTTCACATCTTATAAGTCTATGATCCATTTTAATTTTTGTAGATGGTATATGGAAGGGTCTAACATCCTTCTTTTGCATGTGAATATCCAGTTTCTTCAGTACCCTTTGCTCAGAAAAATTGCATTTTCTCCATTGGAGGCCTTTGTACCCCTTATTGTAAATCAAATTGGCAATAGATATGAAGGTTTATTTCTTTGCTCTCGGTTATATTCCATTGATCCAGGTGTCTCACCTTATTCCATTACCAATTTTGACTGTGGAAGCTTCATAGTAAGTTTTGAAATTGGGAAGTGTGAGTCTTTCAACTTAGTTGTTTCAAGATTGTTCTGGCAGGGCCTGGGATATAGCTCAGGGGCACAAGTGCCTGCCTGGCAAGCACAAGGTCCTGAGTTCGATTCCCAATACCTCATCCCCCCAAAAAAACATTGTTCTGGCTATTTATGGTCTCTTGAAATTCATGAATTTTAAGATAGTTTTCCATTTCTTACAGAATTATGTTTGGGTTTTTGATAGAGCTGCATTGACTCTGTATGTTGTAGGTAGTATTCTTCCATAGTCTTTTGTATTTTTCAGTGCAAGTTTTTTGCTTCCTTTGTTAGTTAATTCCTGACTTTTTTGGTTTGTTCATTGTTTGTATACAGAAATGCAATTGATTTTTCCTTGATGTTGTATCCTGCTATTTTGCCGAATTTATTAGTATAAACAGTTTTACGTGGACTCTCAAGGATTTTCTACAGAAGCAGTCATGATTTGTGAAGAGAGATAAGTTTGCTGCATCTTTTCCAATTTACATGTCATTTATTTCTTGCTTCATTTCTTTGGCTATAACCTATAACACTATGTTGAAGGGAAATGGTAAAGCAGACATTTTTGTCTTATTCCTGATCCGGAGAGAGAAAAATTTCATACTGTCACTGTTGATTGTTGGGTTTTTTTTTTTTTTTTTTTTTTGTACCAGGGATCAAACTCATGACCTTGCGCTTTTATGCCTCTGAGCTAAATCTCTGGCTGTTGTTTGTTCTTTATAGGTTTTTTTCGTGTATGGTTTTGTTTTGGGTTTTTTGAGACAGGGTTTCGCTAGGTAGTTCAGGCTGATCTTGAACTTAACTTTGTAGCTCAGGTTGGTCTCAAATGTGAGACAAGCCTCCTGGATTACAGGCATACACCACCTTGCCTGGCTCATGTATCATTTTTATTATGTTGAAATGGTTTCCTTGTGCAGTGTTTCTAATTTCTTGAATGATTTTTCATGAAAGGCCGTTGAATTTCTTCATGTAGCCTGGGGAGGCAGAGAGGATTGAGAAAGGGGTTTGAATACCTGTTGTAATAAGCAGCACTCTGGGAGGCTGAGGCAGGAGAATCACAGTGAGTTGGAGGCCAGCCTGGACTATATAGCAACATCTCCCAAAAAAATTAAAAAACCACAAAACCCATATTGGGTCTCCCCCAACTTACTCTGTTAATGAATGTGATATATTTTGATGCTTTGTTATATTGAACTTTTTGTGTGGTCCAGGAATAAATCCCACTTGGTCCTAGTGTACAATTCTTTTAATATGCTATGGAATTTGATATGTTAAGATTTTGATACTTGTACCAAGGTCTAGATGGTTGTTTTTTTGTTTTTTGTGTTTTCTTTTTTGGTCTTTTTGAGACAGGGTCTCACAACACAGTTCAGGCCTTAAGTTTACATTGTTGCCCCTGCTGGACTTGAGTTTGCAATGATCCTCATGCCTCGGCCTCCTGAGTGTTGGGATTACAGGCATGAACCACCACGCCCAGCTCTATAGTACCTATTGTTTCTGATAATACAGCCCCTCAAATCTTTTATTTTTATGATAGTGTACCATATTGTTTTTCCTTTTAAAAAAATTTTTGTGCCTGTGTGTCTAATATCATTTTGAGTCTCCTTTTATTTTTAAGTATATTTTTAATGATTTTCTTAGTAAACTCCATAATTTGGAGTTCAGAGTGCCCTTCTGTGTCTGTTATAAAACCCTGGTGCTTTAAGATAAAAAAGAATGGTTATTTTACTATAAATTTCACTGTGCCAACAAATTCAGTAATATTAACTAGTTGAAAAAAATGGGGTCGGGGATTTAGCTCAGTGGCTTAAGTGCCTGTCTGGCAAGCATGAGGTCATAAGTTTGATCCCCATACCAAAAAAAAAAGGGGGGGGATGGCAAGGGTAAAGTTAATTTGCTGGATTTAACAAAAACCCTTAAAGATCAATATTACTTGCTTAATTTATTTGAGCAAAGGTTGTAACTGATAATTTATAGAAAAAGTACGAAAGGTCAGTAATTTGAGTACAGAGTTATCAGTCTTATTTCTGATTAAGGAAATGCAGGTCAAAGTAGCAGTGAATCATAGGGTATTCACTTAGATCCTTTGCAGAAATTTTTTCTGATTTACTGACATCGAGTTTTGGAGAAGGTGTGGGAAGTAGGCACTATCACTTAATGTTAGTATTAGTGTGCTGTAGTACCAACTTCCTGGAAAGTAGTTTGGTAATATAGATCAGAATGTCAAATGCAAAGCCCTTTGACCCAACAATTCCACTGACAGACATTACCCTATAGATATTTCCAGAAATGCATACCAAAGTAGTTATATACTAGTATTCATTGTTGTATTGATTTAAATTTGGGAAATCCAAACAATTGAAATTCAAGATAAACACCTCTTTTCGATAATATTGCAAAGACCCCCTATCCCCAAGATGTATTAAATGTTGAAGGCCAACTGCTAAGTAAAACAGGTAATAAAACCATCTGGGTGAGGGTTTTTAAAGCTATATATGACTTACTCAAATATGTGCACAAAAAAAGTTTCAAGAGTGGAGGGAGACTAAGAATGAATAATGAAGAAAAAAATTTATACCTTCTTGTAATTGTTCTTTTACATGTGCATTCATTGTCTTGTCCTTCTTTTCCAAATGTTTAAAACCAAAATTTTACATTCTGCCAGTTCAAAACTAGCAGAGAGGAACAGGGATTTAGCTCAGCGGCATAAGCACCTGTCTAGCAAGTGCATGGTTTTGAGTTTTATCCCCACTACCAAAAAAACAAAAAACAAAAAACCCACCCCAACCAGAGAATATGTTCACTCAGAGATAGTGCTCAGAATATAAATGTAGACCTCCAGTCTATACATTTACATAATCAATTTTTCCTTCTGAAATTACAGATACCTAAATAATCTATTTCATGGTTTTAAGTCATTATGAAGTGTCTTACTTAAGATGTGTGAAACTATAAATTAATGTTTTATTCTAAAAACAGTGTCTTAAAATTACTAATGGCTAATCTAACATTTTTGCATCATCTGAGAGGAGGCAGAGTGATGCAATAGGAAAAATACTTCAGGCTTTGGAGTCATACTGACCTGGATTCATAGCTGAACTTAATAAAACTAGCTTTTAACCTTGGGAAAGTTCCTAATAATGCTGAATGGAAAAATCCCAAGCCCTACATTTGCAGAGTAATTATAGACTAAAATGCAAAAGAAAGATGTGTGGTCCCTGGCATATAAAGTTAGGAAACATTAACTCCTTCACACGTCTTCTCTCCCTGTCACTGAAGGATGATTTGGAGTGTTTGAGTTGTCTGGCTCTTCATCCCATAGAGGTATTTAGCAGCGAATGTTTGATTCTGGTATTAGAACAAGGTGACAAATAGTGATATATCATTTGACTGTTTTCATCCACTTTACTACAGAATTACGGTTGTGGGCAGGTCTCTAGTTGAGTTCATCTTGTGTTGTTGTTGTTGTTGTTAGGAATTATCTTTTAATGCAGAACATGTTCCACAAAGTATATGTACAGTAACAACACAGGGAATCATTTATTCTTTGCTGTAGCTTTTTCTTCAGTCTTGAATCCATTCAGCAGCAAGGACAACATTTACTATCCTCATTGCTGTATAATTTTTTTTTTTTGTACAGGCGATCGAATCCAGGACCCACACCTACTAAGCAGGCACTTGAGCCCCTAAGCTAAACCCCCAGCCCTAGTATATAACTCTTGAAACAGTTTGGAGACCACCAGATAAATAGAATACCTTGCTTTACAGGTTTATTCTGCCTCATCATCAGAAGCTCTTCGAAGACTAAAATTCCCTCAGCAGGTAGAGAAATTGGCATTGTTTGGGCTTCAGCAATACCCCTCTGATGCAGAAAAACCAAAGGCACGATTGTCTTTGCCCCACTACTCCAGTTTCCTAGTCTCCTTTCTAGAGGTGTTTGCAGAGTCATGCCTACCTGAGACCCTTTCTGTGTCCATTTCCTTCTTCCCAGACTTTCTTTTCTCTTGGTGCTAGGGAATGAACCCAGGGTCTTGGTGTCATAGGCAAGCATTGTACCTACCACTGAGCTATACCCCAGTCCTCTCATAGAACTCTCTCACAGGTTTCCTTCTCTCACTACAATTTGGCAAGTGTGAGTTGAATCTGAGGCTTAAAATTCAGTTGGTTTTATAGGGACCAATGTTTGTTTTGATTAGGAATATTTACATTGTTTTGATTAGAGGATTTGTATAACTTACAAATACAGTTGCTGTGGGTATTACTTTTTTACCAACTCACAGAGGGCAAAATTAAGAATTAATACTGTGAAGGGTGCTTTGTGGCTCCTGCTATTGACACCCCCACACAGGGAAGCCTTTCTTTACCTCCTAGTGTCCTAAGGCAGAAGGGCTTTATGGAACTTGGGAGCTTGTCTTACTTTTCTTAATGAGGGAGAGGGAGGATGGGTTTAAGTTTTCTGTGGGCTATAATTAATCCCAATTTCTCCTTCTCTTGTAGTACTATTCAAGATTTGTGATGAAATGGAGCCTGGAACAAACTCCTTTCGAGTAGAATTTCCTGATTTTTCCAGCACTATTCTGCAGAAACTGAACCAGCAGCGCCAGCAAGGACAATTATGTGATGTCTCCATTGTTGTCCAGGGCCACATTTTCCAGGCACACAAAGCCGTTCTTGCTGCCAGTTCACCCTACTTTTGTGACCAAGTACTCCTGAAAAACAGCAGAAGAATTGTTTTGCCTGATGTGATGAACCCAAGAGTGTTTGAGAACATTCTCCTGTCTAGTTACACAGGCCGCCTAGTAATGCCTGCTCCAGAAATTGTAAGTTACTTAACAGCGGCCAGCTTCCTCCAGATGTGGCATGTAGTGGATAAATGCACTGAGGTTTTAGAGGGAAACCCTACAGTCCTTTGTCAGAAGCTAAATCATGGCAGTGACCACCAATCTCCAAGCAGTAGTAGTTACAACGGCCTGGTAGAGAGCTTTGAGCTAGGCTCTGGGGGCCACACTGATTTCTCCAAAGCCCAAGAACTGAGGGATGGAGAGAATGAAGAAGAAAGCACCAAAGATGAGCTGTCATCTCAGATCACCGAGCATGAATACCTGCCCAGCAACTCGTCCACAGAGCATGACCGACTGAGCACTGAAATGGCAAGCCAGGATGGAGAGGAGGGCGCCAGCGACAGTGCTGAGTTCCATTACACTCGGCCCATGTATAGCAAGCCCAGCATCATGGCTCACAAACGCTGGATCCACGTGAAGCCTGAGCGCCTGGAGCAAGCTTGCGAGGGCATGGACGTACACGCGGCCTACGATGAGCACCAGGTTACTGAGTCTATCAATACCATGCAGATGGAGCACTCGGTCCAGCCTTCGGGCGTGGAGGAGGATTTTCACATCAGGGAGAAGAAAGTCGAAGCAGAGTTTGATGAACAAGCTGATGAAAGCAATTATGATGAGCAAGTGGATTTCTATGGCTCTTCCATGGAAGAGTTTTCCGGAGAGAGGTCAGATGGGAATCTAATTGGGCACAGACAGGAGGCTGCTCTTGCAGCAGGCTACAGTGAGAATATTGAAATGGTGGCAGGGATTAAAGAAGAAGCATCTCACTTAGGATTCTCAGCCACTGACAAGCTGTATCCTTGTCAGTGTGGTAAAAGTTTCACCCACAAGAGTCAGAGAGATCGACACATGAGCATGCACCTCGGTCTTCGGCCTTATGGCTGTGGTGTCTGTGGTAAGAAATTCAAAATGAAGCACCATCTCGTGGGCCACATGAAAATTCATACGGGCATAAAGCCATATGAGTGTAATATCTGTACAAAGAGATTTATGTGGAGGGACAGTTTCCATAGGCATGTGACTTCTTGTACTAAGTCCTATGAAGCTGCAAAGGCGGAGCAGAATACAACTGAGGCTAACTAAAAATAGGATCTGGCCCTTGAGTGGCATGCACAAAAATAAACTATGGTAATTAATGCAAATCTGGGCACAGATGATGCGTGCTACTTGCTATTATGAGAAAAGCTTTAAAAAAAAAAAAAAAAAAGAAGATATTTCTGAAAGACCAGCTCTAAGTAGGCCAATTAAAAAAACTAATTCCTCAAATTTGTATGTTCAGCCCTGGCTTGGAATGGATAGTGGTGATATGTTAACCCACTGCCCAGCTGGTGAGGGAAACCTTCAAGCCAGTTGTGATTGAGGCAGGCAAACTTGATGGAGAGACCTGCACTTGGAACTGGACTCCAGCCCACCAGTTCCATTTCAGGTGGCAGCAGCATTGGTCATTCATTATTACAAGGTCATGTTGAATTTTGTTTTGTTTGCTTTTACTATACATACTTAGGTAATGTGGATTTGTTTCAGTAGCTGCTTCACGGAATGAAATGCTACTTAGGTAAAAACTACAAATAATATTTCTAGGATGAGAAATTGTCTGGTTTTATTCTTAAGGATATTTGAACTAAAACTATGGAGATACTAGGAGGATGATATTCCAAGTCTGAAATAACATGGTACAAGCTTCAGTTTCTGTCAGATGCCACTGTCATGTTTCGTTCTTTGATAAGGCACAGTTTTGTGTTAATACTAAAGTTGAGTTGAACTCTTGTATCCTGTAATTCTTTGAGGTGCCAGAGGTAAGTGTTTCTAATTGGTTTGCTGCCCCACATGCTTTCTAATTGTAGCATATCCATGCAGTGGGTTCTGCTCTGTCTGGCAGAGTGGTCAGAGGACCACGGTACGCAGAGCACCCCATCTGTTGCTCTTAGTTTATGGTGCTTCTCAACAAGGGCAGCCAGTGACCACCATTCATGGGAAGGAGCCAGAAGTCACCGCTGAGAGTTACCTGTGGACTTGAGGAGTTAACAGAGTGCTCCAGGAACACTCCCATTTTCAAAGTGAGAGTTGAGGAAAAGCATAATCTTAGGAGTGTGGAGGGGAGGCTGAAACTGCCCAAGGAGAGTCTTGAAAATACACTGGTGGGGGGGTGTTTTCGGAGGGGTACACTGAGCTAATACTGCCTGTTCTTTATATGTGCTGGAATGTATGGTAAAATGGGAATGAAGGAGTCCTAATTTTAGCAAAATATTCTACAGATTCATGCTCCCAAGTGACAGATAAAAAGCTGCACAAATTTACAAGTCTACACCTAGCAAAAAAGCAAGAAAAGCAGCTATGCTGACCTTTTCTACTGATTGGTCAGATGTTTTAGGTTCAAAAGAAGGCATATATTCAGAATGCTTTTAAACTGTGCGACATACCAGCGTAGGACAGGGTGCTATATTACATCACCTTCCCATAAAATTAGGGTGTATTCCAAGTAGGAAATTTTTTTTCCTTAAAATAAAAATGCTTTCTGTTGGATTTGGGGTGAAGTTTTTTTTTTTTAAAGTTTGGCTTTGCTCTAATATGATAAGCATTGCTGGCAACTGTCTCTTAACCCTTAAGCTCCTAACGAAGGCGTTTACCTGTTGAACATTACCTGGAAAGGGGAAAGAATACTTATCTACCAGTTAATTCTTGTAATCAAGATTACAAAACAGGGATCTATTCACTAACACTGTATCATTCTCAATATATAAAAAGCACTTTGTATTTAAAACTTTATTACAAATATATATATATATATATAGTTTTTTTATCCTAGAAACTAGATATTACTTCTTGGTTGTTTGCCACATTAATATCATCTTCTCTTAGTGTTGAAACTTGCCAGTTAACAGTCCTTTCTCTGTGTACCTGACAGAGTGTATAAAGGTGACTGTACAATCAAAACTCAGTTGCTCTTTTTCTCATGGTAGAGGCCCATGGGTTTTAAGTATAATCCTGGCCATTATGTTTGAGAAGTTCTTTCTTTTATTGCTCCTACAAATTTCCATGTTAAGACAGTGAAGCCATTCCATTCTGCCAAAAGCTGATCACTGCTCCCATGGTATTAGCAAAACAGTTTCTGCCGTCGAGAGGGTCCAGTGTGCTGTTTCCTATTAAAAGTTGCATTTAAATGAGCATTGGGGCATTTGAGGAGAAGAGTCTGAGAGGTAAAATAAAAATATTCTGGGAGAACCGTGGTTCTTCAGTGATGCTGACTCAGCACCCTGGTTCTAAGTGGTAACAAAGAACCTTTGTTCATCCAGGAGTATGGCCAGCCCCTAGGCGACAGTTGGGAAGCATTCAGTTGTGCCGGGACTTATTTAATGTGTTTGAAGAATATCTAATTGAAATCCATATATGTGTATCAGCTGCTAAGTATAGAACTTAAATAAGTTCCTCACATCTGTTGTCTTTAATTTTGTGTGGTAGTTGGGCTGTTCATTGGTCAGCCAGACTGAGGTGGTTTAGTATCTGAGATGCTGGCCGTGTTCAGGAGGCTGGGAAAGGGATCACCTTAGTCCAGACATTCAAAGTGAGCATTCATAAGTTCTACTTTTTAGGATTAAGAGACCATACTGCATTCCTGCCTCTCTTCCCCACACCTGGGCTGCAGTGATAGTCTGTCCCCTTAGAAGAAACAGCTTTAGGAAATTCTTATCCTTCCAGTTGAGTTTAGGTAATTCTGGGTGACAGTTTTTAAAGTCTTTCAAGGATTGTTTCAGTGGCCTACAACCAAGGTATTTGTCCCTTACTTTGAGTCTTGTTTTTTTTTTCCCCAGTCCCTGTGGGAAAAGGCTTCAAGATACCATCAATGGCATTTAATGTTCTACAATATCATGCCTTTAATTTTAGGGGACACGTCACCGTAATTCACTTGGTAGTGAGGTCTCACTGTCCAACTAAGACTGTAACTGCATACTGTGGTTGCCCTCCCCTCAGCTCCTAGATTTCTCAGCTCATTCTGATTTCTAGCTCTCTAGTTCCTTTAGACCACTCTTTGCTTTAAAGGAGTTTGCACAAAAAGGTTTCCTCCATTCTCATGAGCATTTGCTGTACTTCACTGACCCTGGGCAGGCCTCCAGCTATTTGGGAAAGCCATGTGCTCCAAGTAGCTCCTTTCTACAGAGGCTGCCACCCCTAGAACTGCAGTGGAAGGGAGGTTGAGGCACAGCAGGCTGTGTACTGTCCTGGGGGAGTATTTGCTGCAGCTTCAGGTGGGGTGGAGAGGGCATCTCTGCCTCAACTCCAGGAGTTTGCTCGTGGGAGCTCTCTGACACTTAAGGAGTGCTGGAAGCCAAGCCCCCTCTATGTGTGCCACTGATTTTTGTAATTTAGGTTGCTTTCATGAGTGACTTTGTTCAGTGAAACCAGGGTTTGTTCACTGTTTCTTCTTTGCTATTACACATTTAAAGGTACAAGTTTCTTATTTCATATCTCTACTGATAGTGCCCTTTGGGAAGATGCTGGAACACATTTTGCAAATGTGACTTTGTTTTTTTAATTTTGCTTGAAGTCTGTGTTATGTCAGTTGCTGCTGCCTTCTTTTCTTTTATGAGGTTCCCGATGTTTCTTCCAGAAAATTACTTTATTTATGCAAGTCAGGTGACTCTTAGGCCGCAAAACCATTTGATGATGGACAGATGATCATTAGGTACATATCTTATTGATATTTTGTGAAATGTTATGCCTGTGTTGCAAAAGTTGAATAGTTTTTGTCTTTATATAATTGCTGTCTTCAGTGTACAGCATGGTTTTACTTAATTGAATGTTACTGTTTAATATTTTCTTCTTATAGAAGAGCTCATGCCCTTTTGTATGACATGTTTTAATAAATGTTATCTGTCAATTTTGTAAAAGTTTTGCTTTTCACTCATTAAATGACCATGTCTTGTTTTCATTCTGGCTTTTGCCACCAAGAATAAAGATTCATTATGTATGGTGCTTGAATAAGTAAATGCCACATAGTTGGGTCACATGGGACAGTGAGCGAGTGACAACTGCATGTCCTCAGCTCCTCCAGCCACCTCCAGGCCTGCAGGCTACTCCCTGTGCTCCCCAGGTCCTCTCCACACCCTCTCTTCCCTTGGAGGTTGGCCCTGGGCACCTGCCCCGGCTGCTGGTCAGGGCAGCTGAGAGAAGTCAGGGGGTTCACTCCCCAGTACCCTCCTAGCTGTGGTTGGCAGTGGCTGGGCTTCTCTGTGACTTCGGAGGTTTGGTGCCACACCCTCCACTTGACCCTTCTAACCCAGTAATGGTCCTTGACTCCTTGCTTTTGGAAGCCCTCAAGTACTTTGCTGTCCTTGTGTCTGTTGCCTGCCAGGACCCTGGCGGATGCGTGCCATGTCCTCATTTCACAAAGGCGCCAGCTGTGACTTAGACAAGGTAGGATGTCCCAAAGGTTGCACCATGACAAAATAGAGCCAGGATTCAAAAGCAGGCCTGTGTGGCTGTGACATATGCCAGTGATTTCTTCTGGGGCTCTGTAGCACTCTCATGCTCTTTATTGGGGCTTCCCCTCCCCCATTTCTTCCCAACACCCCAGCCCTTGAGAGGCAACAGCAGGGCTCCCAGTCCGGGGCCCCACGTATTTCCTAACAACTCATTACCAGAGACACTGCTTGTTTTAGACCAAACTTAACTGTCTTCCCACACAAACCTTCTGTCACCACTGTTTGTTGTGAGGTTTTGCCCCCTCCCTGTTGCTGATTTTGAAGCCAGCTCGAGATTGCCTCAGCCAGCCTAGCCCTTCACTGTGTGGGGACAGTCACCCCAAGGAGCCACAGCTAGCCTCTAATTGTGAAGCCTGTCTGCCCTGAGCAAGGGCAAGCAGCACAGCCCTGCAGCGACGTGATCTCTCACACCTCTCGGTAGCCTGGTTGCCAGCAGTCCATGAAGCAGGGGTTCTGTAGTGTGCACCTCCCCAGGGGTGGAAGCTGGTGGGGCAAGAGATGAGCCACACGTGAAGAAAAAGAAGATGGAGTGGCTCATTTGTGTTTGGGAGCAGCAGGGGGTGGGATGGGAGGAGTGTCGCCCATATGGAGCTTACAACACCTGTGCAGTTTATTTAGATTTCCTCATAGTCAGCTAAGGGACTGCTGCTTCCCACCCAGCCACCGAAGCCTTCCCTCAGACAGTCCTTGTCCCCCACCCCCACCCCCCGGGCTCTGGGGGCCCCCAGCCTTGAACTTGCCATCGGACAGTGAACCCGTCGCCAGGTCAGCAGCTGGAAATGAGGTAAGCTCAAGATTGCTTCAACGTTTGGGTATTATTTGGTGCATGATTTGAGATGTGTTCTTTCCCAGTGCAACAAATGAAAGAAAAATTCTGTCCTTTGTTAATTTTGTTGACTGTTCTTAAGGAAATAGGCTGCAGTGTGGCTCAGTGGTGGATGCTCTCCTGGCTTGCAGTGGGCTCTGGGTTTGATCTCCAGCATTGGGGGGAAAAAGTTTCTGTTTAGTGAACTAAGCCAGGCATTTGTTTCTCTTAAGGAGAAACCACAAAGGCAAGTGGGGGTGGAGAGAAAAATCCCTTGGTCTTTTCTAAACTGGTTTGACTAGTTGAATCGAACCAAACAGTTTGATTTTGAAATCTTGTACTGCTTGTAATTTTTCCAAGCAGATAAGCCAGCTGAACCTTGTCAATAGCATGATGCAGTTACAAAAGAATTACAGTTGTCCTTTGAAGGTGTGTGCAAGCTCTATAAAAACATAATTCATAAGCAATATTGTAGGTAAATACAGGTTATAAAAAATAGCGGCTTTTTACTTAGACTCAAGTTATTATGAGTTCTATTTTTTTCTCCTTCATATTCCAAAAATAAGAAACCAGTTCTAAAGTCATTAAGTGTATTTATAACTTAATAAGAGACTAGTTACTCCCCAGAGTATACTGGTCTGCCTAATGTAACAGCTAACCCAGGTGAATGGAAGTGAAAGGCTGCCGCTAGAACCCCGCCTTTCTTGTTAATGTGGGGTCAGCAGTGCTGTGATAAAATCTCACTTATTAGGGTTCTCTGAAAAGATCCTCAGCTGCATGGCACCCTGAACATGATGGGCGAGTGCCAAGTCTTTGGGCGTGGCTGGGGTTCCTGCAGGATCTGGCTCAGCTAGAAACTGGGCTTTAAAACGATGGCAAAGTGCTCTTGAGCCAACCTAGGAAGTGTTAATTTTTTGCCTTATTTATATAGTGTGTCATAACGTGAAGCGTCTTTCCTCTGAAGAATACAAGAGGATTTTTCGTGGGTTTTTTGTGATAACTGGGGATTGAGCTCAGCCTTTGTACTGAGCTGCATACCTGGCCCCTCCCTCCCTATCTCCTCTGTTTCACTTTCTCTTCCTTCCATTCCTTCTTTCTCTTTTTTTTTTTTTTTTCCAAGGGTGCAGGGTCTTGCTAAGTTGCTAAATTGCCCGGGCTGGGCTCAAACTTGCCATCTCCCTGCCTTAGACTATCTTCAGACTGCAGTCATATGTACCCTGTACACTCACTGAGCTTACTGAGTGTCAAGCCTACTTTAATAAGTGTAAGGAGAGGTGAGGTTGAGAAGCGCTCTGAGTGAGGGTCTGTTGAATGCTTACCACGTGTTAAGTGCTTACCACGAATTGACTCATTTTTACCAGAATTCTCTTCCAGGTCACTTCATGTAGCAGGAAAGGATGATAACTTTAGTTGGGGAAGTTTTTTCCTCCCTTGGGAAAACCCCTTACTGGGTCAACAGGGTTACATGAATCTGGGATGAGACTCACACAGTTTTTCTGCACATGCAAACACCACCCACCTTGGTACTGGCCAGTGCGGCTTCTGCTGAATTGTCTTGGTGCTTGTAGGTGGGTGACACCAATTTCTGCTTGGATCATTGAACTCTGCTGTCTGAAGGGAAATAGTAATTTCAGGTATCAGCATCTACTTGAACTCTTTGGGTTCAGGAAACCTGTGTAGAAATTAACCCGAAGAGTGGAGAGATCAGGGGTCTTTCAGCCTGGTAGAAAATGTCCTCCAAGAATGGGCAGGGAGGGGGCTGGGGATTTAGCTCAGCGGCATAAGCACCTGCCTTGCAAGCACGCAGTCGTGAGTTCGATCCCCAGTACCGATAAAAAGGAAAAAAAAAAAGAATGGGCAGGGAGAAAGAGGAGCCCCCATTCAGCCAGAGCAGCTTCACCTCCTAGGAGTGGGTCCAGCAAAGGCTTACTCCTCGCCATGACTAACATTTCCTGCCAGGCCTGCTGGTTCCTCGGTGTCCAGACCAGAGATTGACTTCACCCTCACAGCAGGCCTTAAGGTGGGTGCCATCCCTTAAAGCAGGGTACTAACTTGCAGAGACAAAACGAAACCAGCTCCAGAGTGGCAGGGCCCAATTCAAAGCCAGGCAGTCCGAGTTCTGGACTCCACAGAACTGCACACGCCGGTGTCATCAGTGAGGGCCAGCTAAGGGCTCTGAGTTCCAGAGCAAACCTCAAATGGCCACCAGTGCCTCAGGAAGAGGGGAGTTCCAAAGGCCAGAGGCTTATCGGACACTGCCCTGGTGTTTATCTCCAGGAGATTGTGTATCTTTGGCACAGCCTGCTTATCTCTATGTGGTAAGCGCGGCCCACCCTTTTCTGTCCCATCAGTCTCTGCAGTTACTCCTTCCCATCACCCTCCACTCACACATAGTCTCTCCCCTTGGCTCTAACCATCTCTGATCCTGTCACCTCCCAAGCAAGGGCCACCCCAGACACATCCTGGCTTTGCATCGGGACTCTGCCAAGTCTGACATCAGCCTGTTTGTCCTTATTTGCTGCTGCCCTTTCAGACCTGGCTGCTCTTCAGCTTCTCATGGTCCTCGCACAGATGACTTTCTCTGCTTTGAATACTCACCCACCTATTTTCCAACCACCCTCCTAAACTCTGTCCTCTTCAAGGCTCCTTTCTATTTTTCCAAGCTCTGCAGAAGTATCGTCTGTGGCTGCTTCCCTGAGTATTTTAGAAACTACCCACCAGTTTTAATTATTCCATTGTGTGTATGTGTGTGTGTGTGATAGCAGTGAGCCCAGGGCCTTTGCACTTTTTTATCTCCCCAGCCATTTTTTGTTGTTGCTGTTTTTATTTTACTAATTTATTTTTTAGACGGGGTCTCACTGTGTAGTTCTTACTGCCCTTGAACTCCTTGGCCCTGGCTGGCCTCAAAGCGATGTTCCTGCTTTAGCCTGGAGTGCTGGGATTATAGGCAAGTGCCACCACACCAGCCCCCGGCCCTTTTTCCTATTATATGGGGACATGGAGTCTCCCTAAATTGCCTAGGCTGATCTTCCTGCCTTGCTCTCCCAGAGTCCTGGGATTACAGGTTTGGGCCACCATGCTGAGTTCCCATTTCATTTTAAATTTAGCTCTGTGGTGGCACTTGTCACCGTTCACCAGCCCACACAATGTTACTCACCTTCTCATCGCCCAACACTCACAATTTAAAGGAGGAGAGGTTTATTTGAGCTCATGGTGTAGTCCACAGTCAGCTTGCTCCAAAGCAGAATGGCGAGGCAGAGGGGTATAGTGCAGGAAAAATTTAATTATGGCAACCAGGAAATAGAGAAAGGGAGGAGCTGGAAGGGAGATGTACCCTCCTGGGCTTTTCCGCCTTGACCCACCTCTTGGACGAGATCTCACCTGCTAACAGCAAGTCAGCTGCACGGCCCATGCTCCAATCCTCTTCCAACGCTCCATTATGAGTGCATGAGGGCTTTGGGGACCGTTCTCCCTGTAAACCATAACACACACCTGTGTCCCCTGCTGGACAGCAAGTTCCTAGAAACAGCAGCTGTCTGACTCATCTCTGAACGGCCACCCTGGCACAGTCCCGATGCACTGTCAGTAGACACAGCTGAAC